ATAGTATGTATGTGCGTCGTTTCAAATTCCTGCAAATGCAACAACCAAAATGCATATTGCATTACACTGTTTTTTTTTTTTTTTGTTGAATTTACAGTCTGCAGTTTCTTATTTTGGACTTTACAACTTTTCCAGTACTTTAGTCACATCAAATAATTTTTTTTTATTTTTTGACCTGCAAGCATTAGTCCAAATAGATTGTATTATGCATCATTTGACTCATTGCATTGTTACATGCCATCCCATCCACTTTAATTTCCAACAGCACCACATGAGTTGGTTTTGACAATGCAGTTATGTAGCACATGCATGCTCTCAACCTCAAGAAAAGCGAAAATCGAGTGGAAATATCTTTCACATTTCGTTCGCACTTTTCAGCGAAATGTTATTTGCATTTTCGATAAATTGTTGCAATGGAATTTATAAAATCTATTTAAGTTCTTAAAGTATTGCAGTCCTGTTGAAATTCAGTGTAACTATTATACATTTCTCCTTGTTCGATGCCATATTTCTATTTTCTATTTCTGTTAAAAAAAATCGTTGCCAATTTATTGTGTGAAATGTTTTTGTACGAGTGTGTCCTTTTTTCAATTTTATGTATCGCCCATATACACTAGAACGAATCCACTAATTACATTTTGAGTCACATGCGAAGTGTTTGAGGGTGTAAATAATCGCATTGATTTTGTAGTTAACCTCAGCGAACAGTAAACTGATTTTCTAGTAAAACTAATTGCTTCACAATGAAATTAATTGAAAGAAATATGTTTTTTAACCAATGTTTGGAATTTTACTTATAGAAGTATAATAGATCTTAATTAACTGTAATTATGTTTTCTTCTATTTGATGGCAATTAGTATAAATAAAAATAAAAAATGCTTGTGGTTTACAGATGGTCAGTCATATTAATTCTTAAAAATCTTCAATTTATTTCCTAAAGTTTAAACAGACAGAAAATTTGTCGTACAGCTATAATGTACGTGGTCTAACTCATAATAAAACAAGATTTTCATACTAGACATTAAATACTAGGCAGCTTATTTATGATTTAGAATAAATACAGTCACTATGCAAAAGTCTGTTAATCCTTAAATAAGAAGCAATCTTCTTACCAAAAAAAACGAGCATATTAATTAATAATCTATTTCGTGTTTTTAATCTCTATTTAGTGAGACAACCGTAATAAGAGTTTGTTTTATTGATGAATCTGTTTTGAAGATAGGATTGGTCGCAATTTCATCAGTGATGACTAAATCTGAAGAATTAACTAACTGATAAAGCAAGTCATAACCCAATCATAATTTAAGTCTTTATAGCTTTAGTCACGGCGCCGTCAGAAACTTAGGGAAACTAAAATTAAGAAGTCTGTATGTCTTTCCAACTCATCTCTCATTTTTTGCGCTGCAGTATTCGCAATTGGGAAGACAAATAATCTCAGGCAACACATAAAAATGAGATCGTTCTTCTATCGTGTAACAAACTGTAAGTCAGGGTCTGAATTCATCCATCACAACCTCTAACATAGCGGAAGTAAACACAAAGAACCTAAGCACTTTACGTAAATGGAACAATATTTCTCTAATCTAGGTTCCAGAATATCGTAATATTAAAGAACATAAAAAAGCTAATGAACGGATAAGAAGAATAATTGCCACGCGAGAAGCTTTTACAGAACTGGCCTTTACATCACTTAAACTATATAAAAGAACGTACACCTTGACATATAAGCAGAACATTATGGACTGTATATAGTGTTAAGAAAACAGTATTGCTGATAAACAGAAATAAAAGGAATGTCTCTGGATTGATACTAGTCATTACTGAACTCTTGGAGAACTACGTCAATAAAGAAACGTTTAAAAGCCGATTATTCAATATTTTTAAAAAATATTAAATGCATTTAAAATCTAATTTGTAATATAATATACTCTCATATATTCAATTTTCATATATTAACGCATTTATGGTTAAAAGATTCACATTTTGATAAATAGTTATTTCCAAAAAACATACTGAATATATTTTCACGTGTGGTTTGTAGGCTTCGATACGGTTTTTTTATTTCTTGTTTTATCAGAATTTATTATAAAAACAAAGCAGGTGTTGACTTCTTAACAGCACTTCAAAGTTTGCCGGTAAAGTAAAAGTAAAAATAAAATTTTCTCACATTCTGAAGCGATCGATAGATATTGACAAAAAAAATCCATCTAAATCCTGCGTGTCAGGATTGCACAAAAATATTTTTATCTACATATAAAAATATGCGAAGCAATGTACACTAAAAATTATGCAAATATGTTTTAATCAAAACATTTGAGAAAATATCTAATGTTTGATACGAAAACAAAATAATAATCAAAACATTGATAAGACCAACCCGCCAAGTCCATAAAAACGAATCGGCAAAATAAAAATTTTTTGAAAAACTATAACCTGTCACTTTGACTGTGAGCTGAATTTGGCATAACTAGCTGACATCAAAATGCGTGTAATTAAGGAGTAAATAAATTTATATCACTTCTTTAAAAACATAAAATGTTCGCTGTCATATTTCCTCACTATTATGTAAGGCACTATATGTTTAGATAATGATTTACTATTTGGTAATATACATTGTTACCATAAAAATATTAATTCAAAATGATATCGAATCTTTTTAACAAACTATATTAAGCATCCTCAAAAGTCAGTCTCTGGCTATATAAGATATTAAGTCTGGAGGTGCGATATATTCTTACTCAGTACTCGTACTCCGTACGAGTTATTTCGGCTTAGTAGTGTCAAAAACTTGACGTACAAGTTATTGTATTATTGTGATGTAAGTTAACTACAAAAATCATGCAATTTATTATCGGTGAACTTTTTGTGTGGAGTTTAGTAATAGATCGTGCATATACGAACAATTCCTAAGCTCTCGACTCTTTGGAAACAAACATCTACATTACCTCTAAAGCTCCAATTACTGTAAAAGACATTTAAATGATGTTTTACTTTACACACAGTAGCAATGTTTAAACAATATATTGAATTAAAAACTTTATTAAGATCTTATTTACAAGTGTACCTTAAAATCGTTTACTTTAAAATAACTCCGTATACAATTGCTTTGATGAATTAATACGCTGTGAACCTGGTAGTATGTACTAGAATGTCTTTTTTTATGGAAAAAATCTTTTGCCTATAAAATCATTCAGTTCCGTGGTTATACATCTGAAATCACTATATCAGTTTATCATAAAAACTTGATTCAGTTTTTATTATCGTTATTAGAATCGGGTCGGTTTATTTCAAAGGATCAGTTTCTATTATTCAAGAAACACTAATTTCTAAGCTCATAGAGTTTTGGCTTTTTTTATGAAATATAAATATGATCGAAATAAAAATTAAAATTCTGAAAGAGCAAAACCGATTTTATAATTACAGAGTTTTCAGTTTTAAGCGAACTTAATTATTAAAGTACTTCAATGGTTGACTCACAGTGTATTGATTAAAATCCATGGACAGTTATTGTCAATCAAGGGAGTTTACTATTCACTTGTTTCTCATTACAAACAAACTGTATAAGATATTCTTCATAATATACATATCGATTTGAGAGTTCCGATGGTTAAACTCGAGTTCGAGAGAATAAAGCAGAAACATATTTCAAATCTAGAAAACCATTTGAATATGACAAATTTTCTAGACTGAAACGGAATGATAGACCCGCCATCCTGCGTTCCTAAAGATCACTCTGATTAATCAGATCACTCTACTTATTCAGAAAAAATAATTTACAAATCGTTATATATTTCATTATAGTATTTTTATATGAAATAATTGTAATGTAAAGTTATTAGTCTTTATGACTCTAAAACTTATTGTTAGGCTTTAATTTAATGCGATCAATGAAGACATATTGTTAAATAAAAAAAATTTTTTTTTTCTTCATACTAATAAATTTTTATATAGAATAAACCAAAACAAACGATAGATTTGAAAAAGTGTTTATAAATGGTTTACTGTTAAATTTATATTATATATGTATGTAGTTAAAATACCAAATAAATTCTGTAGCGCAGCAAAATCTCAGAATTTCATACCTGCAAATCGTTTAAAAATTAAGGAAAATACAAATATTTTTCCTTTGGCCACAAAGCCAAATACGATTTTCCCTTTGCTATGAAAATCACAACCACAGAATATACAGTAGAAAACATAGTGAGTGGGTGCAATATGGTTACCATATTTAAACACTAAAAGAGCCAGAGTGCCAGGCTTGTGCCAGAGTGAGCGAGACTATGATCGCAGGCCAGGCAACATAATGCTTATGTTGTACTCGAATGAAGTAAAGCATCGTGCTGTCTGTCATACATGCATAAATATGTGCTGCCTATGCGTATAGCTACATACAAATGTATATAGCTGTGCATTGTGGGCAAGATACTACTATGTAGAAGAGGAACTGAAGAACAAACATTTAAGAACAAAATAATATTTATGCACTGGCGTACGCGTAACAACAACTGCAAAAGATCGTTAGGAAATATGAAACGCACGCGGGGGGACTTACAATTGAAGCATTTTTAGTGTTATTGATGGTGTTGTTGTTTGCGTTCTTGTTGAAGTTTAAAGAATTTATTCCGTTTCGGGAAGTCCATGCAGAAGCACGCTTAACGGCATATAAACAGAAAAAAAATTTTTTTAAATGACTTTTAAAAAAAACATAAACAACAAAAATAGTTTATGAAAAATATATATAGTTCATATAAAAAAATAATGAAGTTATAATATTAATAATTGCATACAATTAAAAAAAACAACAATTCAAAAACAAGCGCCAAATTTATTTTTATTGCAATTAAAAAACTTTAAATATTGACTAAAAACATTTTAAAATATCAAAAATATAATTGTTTTAAATACAAAACAATATTTGAAAAAAAATTATAATAAAAGATTTGAAAAAGTTGCCTCTAAAGAAAACTAAAAAGTTTTGTTTTGAAACAAAAATCTTAACAGTGAAGTTTCTGTAAACAACAAAACCATCGAGCTTTTTTAGTGTAAACATTGTAAGTGCGGAACAATGCCACAATGCTGAAGTGCAGAGTGAAAATATAAAGGAGCGATATTTTCCGAAGCCAGAACAACATACAAAGTTATCAGATTCTAACGACTTGGGATACCTTACATCAAAATGTTTGTTGCCGTGGATAACACAAACACCTTCTTCTCAGGTAAATAATACAGAAAGTTTGAAGTTTCAAATTGCTGCTTCTCAAGGCATCGAAGGAAAAATTTCTACTGAAAATTAAATATTTATATTAAGAAAATTTATATTCTTAATACATATATTGTATTCAAAATATATTTTATTAAAGTCAATAAACATAATTAACTGATAATAAATGAAGTAAATAAATTATAAATTTTAATAAATTTATAAATTTTTTCTCCTATGAGGAGAATAGGGCCGCAAGAATAGAATGTATATATTTTATTAAATTAATTTAAATGTTTTTTAATTCATAGCATTAAAAAATATATTATTTAAATGAAATAATATATCCTTTTTCATTTATATATCAATTTTTATAATATAATATAAGCGACCATATATATGTAAAGTAATTTGCAAAATAATATAAATGTAAATTATACAGATAATCACTTTTTTTTACAATATATAGGGGATACTATTCTTTTTCACAAGTTATTCGTCCAGTCGTTCGGACAGAGGTGCAATCTTGAATATTTCGTAGCACTATTAGTTTAAGCGAGTCATACTTGACATTATGGATTCAATGTATGTCTAAAATATTTTGTCTTAGAACATTTTATTGTCTATAGCGGGTCTTTGTTTTTGCTAAGCCCTCGCAGAAACACTACATGTATTATTTCCTCTGACAAGCATACTTTTAACATACGCCGATAACACTAGATCTAAAAGGTTTCTGAAGTTTGATTTTCAGTAATCAAGTACAAATCTTCAGTATATTTTACAAGTTCTACTATATAAAAATATTTTTTAAATGTTTTGTCCTACAATTAAAAATCTTTTCGATAGATTACTTACTAATTTAATTATTTAAATATAAAAGATCCAAGACTTAATAAAAAAAAGGATAATAATTTAAAAAACAAACAGAGTCTGAAAAAAGAATTCAAAACACAATTTTAGCTAAGCCAAATGTGAAAGTGTAAACTATCGCACTGTCTAAAACAAAACTTTTCTGAAAACTATAAATTGAGAGATTTTTAGTGATTAGGACATATAAAACAGTGACCAAGATCTTCCTAATCGACAGCATTAGCTTCGTCAATTCGCTATTAGAATTATTCTTGTAAAGATCTCAAGCCAACTTTTTACTATTTACTATTGAATATATAGCGCAGAGTACCCACTCGACTAGCGAATAATTCAGACTTAATTTGCAACGGATAATATTATATTGAGTGATTTCAACTTTCATAAACAGTCAAAGTCGACTGAAGCTAAAAATTATTAAAAATATTTTTTATGTATTACAGTATTAAATCTTTTTTGTAAATCAAAAAATGTATTCATCATATACATCTTAACATATTAAGTCCAGCGTTTTCTCAAATTTTTTTATCTCTAATAGTTTTTGTCAACGTCCTCAAAATAGACCTGTGTTTCATTGACCCTTCACTTCATCCATATTTCGAACTACCACTTAATCATTTTTCAGGTTCGAGAACAGGAAATACTCGTAAAAGTCTAAATCTGAAAAACCTTCTATTTGGGGTAAACAGCTTTTTCTGTAGAAACCAAATAATTACCATTATTTCTTAATGGAGAATTTTGGTATTAAAATATAACTACAGGAAAATCTAAATTTCCTCTATGATGGACCCTAATAATCTACCTTTAAGTCCCTATCAATACAGTCAGCCGAACTAAGAACAACCGAACAAACGTCTATTCACAAGTGAAGGCATTAAAGACATTGTCCCTTTTATAGAACCAATACATTAATTTTCTGATCTAAAATATTTCTACCTACAGTTTCTTGTTACATCTAACTCAAAATTTTAGTAAAACAATGGGCCTACTTTTTTGGTGTTAAGTGAGCAAAAAAGGGCCGAAACGGGTTATTACTAATGTCTACTACATATCTATTGACATTATTTTGATAATTATGATTATTGCAGATATTATCTCGTTCATATTATTTTTTGTTTCTTAATATATAAAACTACGTTTTCTGCAACAGAAATTACTACGCAATGTACAGATGTTATAGTAAACTTACATATATAAATAAATATATAATATAATATATGAAGTGAATACGTATATATCGATTATTTTAATTAAATTTATTTATTTACTATTATTTGTGCTATAAAAGCTATAAATACCAAAATATAAGTCCAACTGTTATATTAAGAAGGTACTATACTCATAGTGCAAAAATATTGAACTCTATTACTTTCTTATGTTTGATAAAAATTACTTATCAATTATTTACTTTAAACATGAAGTCATATGTTTTTTTAATTATCACTGTATTGTTTTTACTAAATCTATTTCATTCTTCTTTACAGATAATCCATATTATTTTTACAATGACAACAAATCGCCGCGTACTCCAGACTCACAGAGCTCTAGTAAAGGATTTTCCATATTTAAAAGACGTAATTCAAAGGGAAACAGTCCAAGAGTTGTGCTGCCAGAGCAATTGCGTCTAATAACATCAGCTAATCTTGATTCTGCTGCAACAATTGCATTAGGTAGCCCGCGCGGTAGTTTTGGTTCATTAAGCGCTTTCAGTCATGTAAGTATCCGTTGTTATTGAAGTAATAAATCACAACATCAGCATTTCAAAATTATAAAATTCCGATTAATCTTAAAATCAACAACTTCCTTTCGTATATTTTTATAACTTTTTTCGCTTTTTTCTCTACTTTACTATGAATACTTAACTCTTTGATATTCGTTGCAATTTTTATCTTATATTTTTTATTTTTCTTAAAACTCTAAAGCAAACATTTGAATTGCAACCATTGGTGCATCCACGTCAACGTTCATCGAACTCACATTCAGAATCATTTCGCGAACGTTTGGGTTCATATAATGAATCCTCCGCATGTACGGAAAACGATGGCATCTTTAATGTATCGCCAGCAAGGTGAGTATTACTAGAAATAGATTTAAAGTAGCTGCTATTGCAGTTTGCAGCTACTTGCGATGGATAATGATAAATATGATTATGATGAATGCAGCTGTTGACATATTTTATTAATTTGCTAATAGAGCATGTCATTAAGCGTATTTGTACAATTTGTTTGTTTCTTTTTCTTATGGTAACTCTTTGACTTCTTATTTAGCAAACATCATCATCATACATTACCAAGCAGTGGCATACGTCGTCACTCGTTTGGCAATTGGCGGCAAAATAGTGAACGCCATTTGCAACACAAAAATGCTGCGCTTACAACACCGGATGAAGTGCCAAATATGATGGCTCCAAGGCCACCAGTAATATCACCAAATAAATATCGTGGCTTACATAGGAGAAGGGGTAAGTTCCTAAAGACTATTTATATTGTGTTGATTTAAAAATATTTAAATAAAATATATAAAAAAAAGAATACGTGAAATTGTAAACAAATATACAATACAATTATGAAAATACATCACATAAACTATAAAAATAAATTAAATTCATATAATTATTGATATATATGTATACATAAATTTATATAAAAAATTCCAGACCACATTCCAATTTATACATAAATTGTGTTTTTATTGTTCCACTTTCGATTTCTATCAGGCGATCCCGTCAATTTGATAGCCATTTGGCTGGCAAATTACAGCTGAAGCAATGCAATTATTTTATGGCAATTTACGATAAAATGTGCACCCATTCTATTATGAATTTCAAATAATGTGTAAATAATTTCAACAAATCCAATTGAAATGCATCGAACGCATTCTGTTAATAGTGTCTAGCGTCACTGCGGGCGCCAAAACAGATACTTTTATTTAAATATGTATTGATATTTACGAGTATTTAAACGGAATACTTGCAATAAATAAAATCAATACTACGCAAGCAGTATTTTACATGGAGGATAGGCCAGGCAGGACCCAATACCCACAGCTAATGGCTGCTGTGAAGTTTCATACATAATAGTCTGTGTAGTATATAAACTATCGCAAGTGACACTTGTGGTTAATTTGACATTGACAACATTGGAAATGATTAATGACATTTAATGTTGCCATTGAATTGTTGATTAGTCTTTATGTTGGCCTGTTAAAGTGTCTACACAGGGGTTTTTTGAAATAAAGGAAGCAGTTGAGGTCGTTCAATTTGAAATATTATTATTTTCTCTCTACGAATATTCAACTATAATTTTCAAGTTATGAAAATAATTGCAGTAGTAATAATAATAATAACAATATTTATGAAGTATGAAAGCAATTTAAATATCATTGATTATTATTATTATGTGATTGATTTTATAGTATTAACATTGAAAAACTGGCGCCATAAATTTGTTATTAACAACTTACATATTAAATAAACAAAAGACAATATAAAGATAAAAAACATACAAATATAACAATAATATAATATTTTTAACAAAAAAGATTAAGTAATTCAGCAAAAAAAGGAAACAATTTATTTATTATAACCTATTTACAAGACTAGACTTAGTTGTTATACTGAAGACACTAACTGAGTCTTCAAATTTTCAATAAATTCTAAGTTACTACTAATATTTTCTAAATTAAATTACAACTTATATTCACAAAATATTGATCTCGCCCGAACATACAAGTCAAGTACGACTTTGCGTCAGTTGGTTAAGGTGCGCTGACTCTGAGCTTCAAATTTGACAGGACATGAATTCGATTTCTGGCACTTGCAGTTTCGACAATACTTGAAACAGCTGTATGATCAGCCAAAAATTTAATTAATTAAATAATAAATACTGTTCTAAAAACCTCTTAATGTGATATTTTCTTTAAATATATCTGACCCTAGTTTTGTATATAAAAATATACCGATGTACCGAATTTCTTATTCATTAATGAGCCTACAATTAGAAATACTGGTACCAAATGCTTTTTTCGAATTAATAAATTTGTTCAATATTTTTATTTAGTAATGTAATTTCTTATCTTACAACAATGAAATTATAATATTTAAAAATAATGATTCAAATGTCTTATATAGAATTTTTTGGCAGTTCAAAAAATATTTTGAAATATTTTCTCTCTTTCATTTTAATCAAGTAAAATAAATTACTTTTCTCTTCATACAGTTATTATATTTATTTTTCCAATGCCAGTACTATCAAACTTTGTATATATCTAAACGATTGCTCATAATATGATAGATACTATATCACTTAATTTCTTCAATTTACGCCCCTTTATCCAATCTTTGACCGCTTTTGAATTATATACTCCTTACTATGACTTCACCAATCAGTTTATTATGTATAAATTACTTTTTCAGTCTGACACGATTTTTTACAGTATTTATATATGTATATGTTTGTTCGATAAAATAGTTTAATGCTACTCTCTCATGCAGTTCATCTGTTTGATATACGAGAATGTCATCTTTATTAGATAAAAGATCAAATTTCTGATCACATCTATGTAAAAGATGTATATATATATATATCATCTTTTTTGGTAAGGTTAGTCTGGTCTTATGGCTATAATTTAAAAAAACACAACGTACTGGTCAAAAAAACTCATTATTATATTATTCTCTTTTTCGGCATCACTAGAAAATCTCAGACTGTCATTTTCTTCACTCATTTCAGTGCTCATTATATCATTATAGTATATAGTAAAAGGCTAAACTATCGCCTTAACAGCTTTGTTATAAATAGTTTTTCTTTTCGTTTGTCCCTAACTACATAAGAATTATTGTAAATATTGTTAAATTTAACTATAATAATTTTTTAATTCATATATTTTTTTCTTAATAGGTGAAAATTTTTTAACCTATTTTGTTGATTATCTAACTTTCAGTAATTTAAGTCTAAACCATACTCTTATCTTTAAATTTCCAAAAAAAATTTTTTGGCATATAATTATAATTAACATATTTGGACTTCTCATACTCTTCGCAGAGTAGAAAAGATAAAATAATTAAATAATTTATCACTATGAAAAAATTATCGTAGTTCATTAATACTGTCTTTAATTTTAAACAAACCCTATCTCCCTCTTTAATTAAATCTATATATAGCCGCTAAGCTATATCCACCTATCTATTTATCTTGACGTTTGTTTCAAATTCGTATCTCTATTATACACTTTTAGTATGAAGACTTTTGGATACAAACTTTAAGTATATATTGGAGAAGCGGTATTGAGCAAAGGTTTCAAAACCCCAAGATAATAGCTGTTTTTAATAATAGCTGTTTACTTATAAATACATGTTATTAAAGCTATGTTATAAATATGTAGATTTTATCGAAATCCTTTATTAGTGATTGCCCAATAAGTCTGTGCGAAGAGTATGTAATATTCAACTACTGAGTCCAAATTATTATTATTTTTTTTTCATTTTTATGTACATTTGTCATAGATGAAAATGAATTATTATTTTATTACATTTCCATTACAAATCTACTTCCTAACCATACCGTTGCAGTACTTTCTTATTTGTACTCTAAAAAGACGCTTGCCACATTTTCCATACTTTGACGACCTGCTATCA